ATTTTTGTTTTCATTAAAACGACAAAAATATAGATCTAGCAAAATCAAAAATCATAAAAAGATCCGATGAAAACTAGTGAAAGATCCGGTGTAATTGGATGAGATCGGACGAAGATCCAATTAAAATTAAGAAAAGAGCAAAGAGTTTGTTCCTAACTACTCCTAAGTCGACTAAGCGAAGGAGGAGTTGTATATAGAGTCAGATTATATGTATTGATATTGTATTTTTGAACTAAATTAGTCGTCTAAATTTATTGTTATCTTGCTAACATATATAGTAGCGGATAACAATTTATATATCAGTAATATATATTGTTAGATGTTTATTGATGAATAAATTTATATTCTATGTCTTCTCCACCGAGTCGTAATTGAGTCGAGTCAACTATTTTAATCAACGGAGACGAAGATGAAGATATATATTGAGTCAAACGATATGTAACCGTAATCTCGATGCAATTTTCAAATGGTGTGAACCTACGGGAAACAGGTGTAGATTTCCCAAATACTTCCTCATTGTCGGAGGCGATCATAGTTACTGCCATTTAGTGAAGAAACTGAAATATCTAGGCTTTGAAATGCTCCTCTTGTACCACCGCATCCGAACATCTAGATTTTTTCTTGCACTATGCAAGTATTGTTTCTGCATTGAGATAGTGTTCGATTTAGGATATGGGAGTTACCCACGAGCCAGAGTACCAACGATTTAGGATATTATCGTTGATACTATCGTTGATATTATCTATCTAGTTGCATGCATGTAGTTTTCAAAACAAAGATTTAGCATCCAAAATGGCTCATGGGCAAATATTGTGCATATAGAAATACCATAGAAAATGAAAGAAAAGAAGATAATAATGATGAAAGCACCAAGACAGTGGTAAGCAACCATATCAACAAAAAATCTCACAATGGTTGCGTTGAAAATGAAGGACTTAAGAGATGTGGTCAGCAAACCACTTCATTGTCAACGCGACTATTGTGAGATTTTTTTGGTGATGGTTTACAATACAGTTAGCTCTTATGGGTTCTTCAAATTGTCCTATCTCCATAAACATTAAAGATATGATGGCACTTACACGTACTTAAGACATGTAGCGTTGATGTTTCCCTTGCAACACAATGTTTTAATTCTTAGTGTCTTACTTGAATGGTACGTGATGCCCACGTCAATGGTATCCGTCTTTGAACTTTTAGTTTCCAACTTCATGGCTTAGTTTCTAATGGTGTAGATGAATGTGTTAAATACTCAAACTAAATAACTTTTGATTTTAAACATTTTAACTAATTTTAAGA